AATAAATACTAGGGAGGCTAGTGATAGGAAATGAATACTGAGAAATGGAGGCAGTATAGATTTTAAGCTGATGAATTCTGGAATGGGGGAAAAAAGAAGAGAAAAACTAGCATATTAAGGGCAACCTAAACTTAAAAAAAAAAGTCAGGGAATGAAAGGACATCTACATTTTTTTTGACGATGTAAGGGAAAAATCTTAAAGAAATAAGTGAAAAATCCAGAGAGGGGTAAACAAGGAAGGTTCCAGAGGTTGTTGGAGAGAATGCGCTTGGCATGTTAAATGAGCCAGGGTATTTACTGCTTCAGGAGAAAGGCAGGATGGAGATTTGAAGTGGTCAGGAGGGCTCTGACTACTGGAGGTTTTTCTCGGTGTAGTCGACAACCTTATGGGGATGGTGGTGGTGGCTGAATAGGGATGGAGAATGAGGCCTGAGTGTGGGTTTATGACGTTGACAGAGAAGCCAGGTCACGGCAGCAGTGACAGTTCCATACAACTCCCTTATCAGTCCCCTGCCCAGTCAGAACAACTGATCTGGTTTAAACAGCCTGTTGGCAAACCACAATATGGCCCTACTGCCCCCAAACAAACTCCTCATGTGTTCCAAAGCAGCACCAACTTCTCCACTTGGGAGACGGACTCCTCATTTAGAAGAGGTGTGGGATTCGATAGTGAGGTCCACTTAGAATTTTGTATAAAAGACTTCTCTTTCTCAGATGTATTAATGCAACTTTTTGAGCCAGGAAATCAAGACCAAGATTCCTGGGTACAAGAGGGTTGTAGAGAATTTGAAAGTGGGTAAAGAAGATAAACACCAGGAGCTACTCCAGTCTTCGCTTTTCTTCACTAATTACCAGTTACTTGATGTTATCAGTCACTACTGATAGTAGGATCTCTGTATCTCTATTTTTAAATTGTCCTCTGCTGGGTGGAAAAGGATTCTTTCTGCAAGGGTTAACAGCCTTCAGGCTCCCTCACTTTTAAATTCAATTCTCCACTTGGGTTGAGTAAGGACACAAGCTAACGTTTGGGGCGAGAAACAAGAAAGCTTCAGTTGTGTTACAAATCCACCCCACCCCCGTCATCCCGGAAGCAACATGAACTATTTCAACTCCGGTGGCTCCTGTGTGTGTCCTGGGAAGCACCTTTCCCTTCTTCTACCCCAGAGACAGTGTGGCACCATCCCTCTACTTACTTGTAAGGGATATGACTAGAGTTTTTTCCAGAAATATTTCTCACCACAGCCCAGCATCACTTTAAGTGGGGGGAATAAGCATGAAGGCCACAGGCCTTGAAACTGTACCATTGCCCCGTCCCCTTTTCACCAATCCAAACTTCAGACAACCCAAACTGTCTTAACTCTTATTCTTTTCCCACAGTGAGAACCCCTTAAAACGCTAGGACCTATTCTGTGACAGAGCAAATAGATGTAAACTGGAGCAAACTTTGTAATGGGAGGTACACCAACGCCATCATTTTTACCATCTCCCACAAACGATAAGACAAGGTGGGAGAAGGTAGAACTGGAGTCATATGTGGATTCTACTTACTGGGAATTGAAAGTTCAAAAATTGTCCTTTGAGGGTGTAGCTTACTCACATAGACAGTTTTGCTGGTTTCTGAGTTTTAGCCCCACACATGGTTAGTTTAAGCTATTACTCCTCCCCACGCTTGGTATGTAATGCAGTGGGGAGGCTGCATTAGAACCCAAAGGCTACAGCAAACACAGTAATCCCTTCCAGGTTTCCATTCACTCTCTTTCTTAACATCAAAAAGTCCCAGGATCCTATTTTTAAAAAATTTCTGGAATTCAAGTGATGGTCCAATGGCTAGTATCACCAGCAGGCCTAAGGGTCACATGATAAAATATCCACTTTATTCTTTTTCCCTGGCTTTACTGAGGTGTAACTGACAAATAAAATGTAAGGTATTTAAAGTATACATGATGATGGTTTAATATATGTACACACGGTAAGGATTCCTGAACATCTGCTTTACGGTAACACAAATGTAGGGGAAACGCTTTTTCTTAGTACAGTGGAGGCAAAGATGGAGTTTTCAGAACAATGTTTTTATTTAAGAATTAAGGGAAAACAAAAACATTAAAGTATAGGAATACACTGACTGAACACAAGTGTCTTGTTTGGTTTGAAATCTTGATAAAGTTCCTCTAACTACTTACCTGAGGTAGATTTAGGTTGGCACTGTCTCAAGAGAACCTCCCTCCGTTCCAGAAGTTACCTTCTAGTTTTGGTTACAGGCTCCCAAGTGGTCCTCTCCAACCTCAGGTTATTCTATATGAGTAATACCAACACCCTTTTTTCCCCATGGTTAAAAGCCCTCAGACCTATTTCATACCCTCAAAGTTTCGGCTGAGGGATGGTCCATCCTTAATTTACTTAAAGACTAGAGACAATTACCAGTAAGATTAGTTGAAAGGGGCATGTCACTGCCCCACCAAAGTTACAACTGTGCCCTTCTCCAAGTTCTAATGACTAAAGTAGCAATAAGGACTAATTTTTATCACCACCAAGCCATACATCCAATACTATTTTAAGAATTACAACTCTCAAACATATACTAGTGATAGGCATGATTTTCATCGAAGAGAAACAAATACATCTCGTGTGTTTTATCACACTGAGCAAGTTTTTATGGTGTAAGAGCTAATGAAAATTACCAAAACACATCAGATCAAATAAACTTCCAGGATCTGTTTTCTAAAAGAAAGAAAAAACAGCCTAGAGTCAGATTCCTTATCACTATGAGTTATTCCTCTGACCCTAAGATTATCCAGGTCACCAACCTGTCATTAAGATCAAAGCTTGGAGCCATTCTCAAGGTGGCCGTGTAGCAGCTGGCCACCCCCATGAGTCCAAATACCAATGTTCAGGATCTGCTAAGATAAATCAGAGGACCACAAGTACTTATTCACCAGTTTACAGTCCCAAATACTGGAGGACTCTTAAGTATTTATATGTCTTTTAACCTGAGGGAGGGGGGAAAAAAAAAAAACCCTCACAAGCATGCATTTATAGATCCCTGGATTAGAGTATTTCTGGAGAATATTAATCATAATTATACTAAATTGGAGATAAGTGCTTATCCTGAAACCTCTGATGAATTTGCCAACTCCTTTTCCCTTCTAGCATTTAGAACTCTACTCTACAAGCCAAATGTACACCTTATATTGTGGTGACTTGTCTTTCCCCAGAAGTAAAAAAGTATTCTATTTCCTTGGCATAATCAAAATAAATGAAAGATATATCATGAGGTTTGGATTTGCTATAAACAGGATGTTGGAGTGGGGGGAAAAAAAAACACCAGCTCTTCAGTCAGGATTCTTAAAATCAGTCGTTTCTCCATTAATAATGTATCAGTAGGTGTTTTACTCTGTGCCGACTCAGACTTGAGTCTTTCTGTCAGCCTTCCCTTAAACATTTTGCAAGGAGTTGATTGACTGTCTCTTACCATTGAAAGAAACGTGATAAATGAAGTCACAAAAATATGGCAACAAGCAAAATCGTAATGATCATCCTGGAATTTGCACTTCTGTGTTGATAACAAACAAATCTCTAAAGCTGAAATTGCAAATACCAATAATAACCTGAAAGATATTTTAGGGCGAGGACTGAGGGCATGCCTCAATTCACACCAAGTAAAATGCTGAGCATTCTGCCTTATTATGAGGCTGGTCCTCCAAAGGGGAAATTCTGGGGAGTGTTTTGATTTAGGATAACTACTCCCTAGCTGTTTGGTTCCTTTCACAACCAGCAGAAGGTTCCCATGCTGGTATCAACACACTAGTCCCCGTTCTACCCAAGAATTAGAAAATCAACAGAGGCAAAGTCAATGTACTTCTTTTCCCAACAGTAACACATGCCACACTTTCTATCTCAATTACAGTCCTTTCTTTTATTAGAGTTCCAAATTTTAAAAACTGAAAGTAAAGCAATCATTCAGTGGTTCAGATAAAAGAAAAGCATCTTTACCTGAGTAACCCATCAGGCCTACTCTGACCTGCCCTAGCTCTTCCCAGAACAAGTTTCTGGGTATCTAAACAAAACTGTTTGCATGTCGATTCCATTAAAAGTCATCTCTACTACAGGGGTCAACTAACTATGAGAACAGTTCTCATACCTGTTAAATGTACACAGTTCACAGTTAGTCCTTTATAGAGGTCTACAAAATGCTCTCCAGAGTAGTTTCTTTGGGGCCCAATAACGTAGAGATTTCCTGCAAGGATTTTTTTTTTCTCCCCCAGACTTAGGGTTACTTATAGGGTCTTTCACTTATACAAGTTCCCTGGTGTACAAGAACTGATCACTGACAGAAGTTTTCTCATTCAGAGAATTCATAAGGTCCTTCATCAGATTTTCTTCTTTTGGGGGAGGGGGGGCTGCAAACCCAAGAAGGCTCTTCACTTACTGCTTTTGCCACATTCAAGGCAAATACACAAATTTTCACCTGTATGGCTTCTCTGATGGGTAATAGTCACAGTTAGGTTAAGAGGCTTTTTTCACAACTGCTGGGGTTTCTTTCCAGTGGGGCTTTCTGATGTCCAATGAGGCGTGCATACTGTCTGAAGCACTGTTTCACAGGGCATTAAAAAAATATCATCCTCTGATCTGAATTCTCTTGGAATGAGGAGAGGTGAGCATTGCTACAGAGCTTTCTCACATTCACAGAACTTGTAAGTTTCCCACCTGTATAAATCCTCTTGTGGTGATCAGACATGAGCTTGGACTGAAGGTTTTCAAAAAACTCAGGGCATTTGTAAGGTTTCTCACTGGAGGGATTGATACGGTTCTGTAAAGACAGCTCTCTGGTCAAACCATTTCTCAAGTTCCTATAACTGCAGATTTTCTGGTCCCCAATAAAGTCTGAGCTCTGAGGAAAATCTGAGATTTGCTTTGAGTTCTCCATCTTAAATGAGTTCTCTTACATTGTAAATACATCTTTTTTTGTTTGTTTGTTTATGGTATAATAACTTCTTGTCTGGTCAAGACATCTGTGAGGCTTCTGATACATGGGGAGGGCTGAGCTCAAGATCTTTCTCAGCCACATTACAGATATATGGTTTTTCACCGATGTGGATTGTCTGATGTTGAAAAAGGGCTGAGCTCTGGTGAAAGCTTTTATCACAGACACTGTATTTATAATGCAGCTCCTCTGTCTGAGTTCTCATTTTCTGTTGGGCAACAAAGTCCATGCCTAGGAGGAAGCCACTCTCACATGCAGACCACTGATGCGGTTTCTCTTCCATGTGAATTCTTTGATGTACAATAAGGTCTGAACTACAGCTGAAGCTCTTCTCATATTCAAGGCATTTAAAAGTGTGAGTGTGAGTTGCCTGGTGCCTGATGAGGTTGGCACTCCGGGTAAAGCTTCTCATACATTCCAAGCATTTATACGGCTTCTCACCTGTGTGGACTCTCTGGTGGACAATGAGGTCTGATTTCTGGCCAAAGCACTTCTCACAGGCACCACACTTATAGGGCTTCTCCCCAGTATGTACTCTCTTATGAACAATGAAGGCTGACCGGTGTCGGTAACTTTTCTCACACTTATTACATTTGTAGGGTCTTTCACCAGTATGAGTTCTCTGGTGGCTAATAAGATCGGATTTCCCACTAAAAGCTTTTTCACACTCCAGACACTTAAATGGTTTCTCACCCGTGTGAGTTCTTCGGTGCCTTATGAGGTTTGTACTTCGGCTGAAGCATTTATCACACTCACTACACAGATATGGTTTCTCGCCTGTATGGCTTCGCTGGTGGACAAGCAGATCAGAGCTCTGACCAAAATTCTTGCCACAGATATCACATGTATAGAATTTTTTACCTGCATGCGTTCTCTGGTGTCCTGAAAGGGCTAAGTGGTGCCAAAAGCTCTTCTCACATTTGCTACATTTATAAGGTTTCTCATAACTGTGGATCCTCTGATGTGAAATAAGATCTGAGCTTTGGATGAAGGTTTTCTCACACATATCACATCTATAAGGTTTCTCCCCAGTGTGGGTTCTCTCACACATAATAAGAGCTAAGTTTTCACAAAAGTTTTGCTCACGTTCAAGGCACTGGTATATCTGGTCATCTATTTGAGTAATCTCATGCACACGAATAAAAATCTTTTTACCCTTCTGAGGGCATACATGATATATTTTCCTTTTTTGAGTTCTCTGATTCTCTCTCTCTTCTGAAGTGTACATTTTCTATGGCTCTCTCCTAAGGAGTTTTCCACTGGTCTTCCTGACCCATCACTTTCTTCATAGTCATTTTCTTGATAAGAACTCAAAAGATATATCTGTTTTAGGCCTTTCAGTCATGAGTAGTTCCTCTCTACAAGTTTCCAGCATCACATGCACTCATTCTTTATGTGGTATTTACAACCCTGTGAGACAAAGAAAAAATATTATTTATATTTCCATAACTAAAATGCTCAAAATTAAAATTGCTGTAGAAAAGAGAATTTCTGCATCAAATTCCACAAGTGCTCTACGTTTTACAGGGGTTGAAAGCAGTAAGTTTTTCTCTAACTAAAACAAATCAGCAGCACATACATGGAAAGTACCAGGAAGAATTGTTTCTTTAATCAATTCAAGTGATCTCAAAACCAGGATTCCTCCTCTTCCCTTGGTTCAACTGAGTAATCAAGACATCTACTAATTAATAGGCCTTCTCTTGAGGAAAACCACCCAAAAGGGACTAGGAATACCTGTGCAGTCCTTTCTGTAGAATGTTTGGAAGGAAATGGTAAATGATTATTAGAATTTTCAGTGTAAAGAGAGAGAAAAGTTTCTTTTACTATCATCCTAGCTGTGTGATGTCTGGCAAGTTTCTTAATCACTCTGTAGCTAGTTTTTTCATTTATAAAATGGATGAATGATGGGAGTTACCTCACATCATTGAGTTGAATAATAATCAGTATTTCATGGTAAGCATTCTGTGTTAGCTCTTATAATAACTATTATTATGATAAAGGGATCTAAGATTCTGCTTTGATATGATCATAAGAGCACAAACCTTGCTCAAAAAGAAAAATGACTGTAGCTAAAAGCCTGGGCTTCAAACCTATCTTTAATGCCAGGCTTTTCTTTGTACAGTGAAGGGATATGGGACAGGTTTTCTTGTTTTTAGAGGGATGCACATGTACTGAAATACCCAAAGATTGAGCATCTTAAAGAAGTCCTTACACACATAAAGATCACAATTATATAATTCTCCTTTATAACATTATTGAAAAGGGCCCTGTGCTCAGAGTCCAACCACTCTACTCCTCCTCCGCAGTAAGACACAATCACATCTTCAAATGACTGGGAGATTAAAAAGGAGACAGAAAGAAGAGAGACATTGAGGTCTTTCTGTTGTTGTCTTTTAGTCGCTAAGTCGTGTCCAACTCTTTTGCAACCCCATGGACTGTAGCCCACCAGGCTCCTCTGTCCATGCAATTTCTCAGGCAAGAATACTGGAGTGGGTTGCTATTTGCTTCTCCAGGGGCTCTTCCTGACCCAGGGACTGAACCCTTGTCTTCCGCATTGGGAGGCGGAGTCTTTATCACTGAGCCACCTGGGGAGCCGGAGGTCTTTCTACTCAGGCCCTATCTTCTGTGCGGCTCCACCACTAGATAAGTTAAAGGTTCAAGCCCAACAGGAAATACAGGAATACAGACTAACACTAAGGAAGAACAATGGGCCGATTCAAGGGAGAAGAAGATAAATGTAATAAACTAGTGTATTTATCAACTGCCAATAATATACTAAAGAAGAAACATGAGAAACAGGGGAAGAAACCCCATTTTCCATATCCTTCACACTTCCTCTTTTCAATGATCATTTCATGTTTGACCTTCTCATATATTCAAACCCCCTCCTCTGTCACCTAAGGAATAAAAACTGATGACTGTGCCTTCTATTTTACTGAGAAAATCAAAGGAAGGCAAAAAACAATAACATAAAAAACACTTGCACATTCTTTCACCACAACAACCAACCTCTTGCAAGTGTGGTCATGCACTCCATCTTTCCTTCTGTTACCATGGATGACAAACTGCCCCTGCTCAATCTAAGGACAATCTGTTGGTCAGGGTACTGGATTCCACCCCCTTTTCACCACAAGGACATCACTCCTGCAATTCTATCCTCTCTCTTCTGCAATACCAATTTGTTCTTCTCTACTGAGTCATACTAATCAGCAAACTAGCCGTTTACTAAAACAGCACCAAAAAGAAACTTCTCTCAACCACTTCATCCTCAAGCTACTCTCACTTCTTTCTATTTACAGCAAAATTCCTCAAAAGAAATCAATCTGTTCATTGTCTTTAATTCTTATCTTTGATAAATTGTCATATTCTCAGTAAGGCCACAACTGACCATCCTATTTTAAATTATGACACATCTCCATCCCAGATGACCCACACATGTAACATCCTTCCTCTCATTTCACGTCTTATTTTTCTCCATAGAACGTAAGCCCCTTAAAGGACAAAGATTTTAGTTCATTTCATTTGTTGCTGTTTCTCTAGCACCTGTGACAGTGTCTGGCACAGAGCAGGTGTGTTCACATATAATGAGGTACTCTGCAGCTGTGAAACAGGATGAAGGTAACTTTTCTGAACTGATGTGGAGCAGTTTTCAGGATAAACTGTAAATTTTAGAAAGCACTGGTGTAAAAAAGTATGCTACATTTTCATAAGAATGAAGTAGAAATTTAAAAAACTACACATGGATCTATTCATTTGGTCAAAAAGAAACTTAGAAAAGATAGAACTAATGAGTTTGGTTGTTATAAGGCAGATGGAAATGGGATCAAAAGGACAGGAAAGTGAAACTGGTACCAAAGGGTGAAGGAAAGAGAGTCATACTCTTCTTTAGTATGTTTTTGTAAAACACACATTTTAACTTTTTAAACTGTTATATTTCACATATTCAATAAATAAATAAACAGAAAAGCTAGGGGAGAAAATAAAATAGAATTCAAATAAAAACAAAGAAGTCTGAATTTCAAATTAATAATAAAACCATCCAGGAGGGGGAAAATAACTCAAAAAATTCTCTAATACAGTATTAGAATTATATAAACTCAAACTAAAGATAAAAAGAACTATAAACAATTACTGAACTGTAATTAGTAGGAGTTTTCCCCCATGTTGGTAAAGGTTCACTACTTAATGCATAGACTAGGAATGACAAAATAAGTAAATATAAAGGCAACCAGATGTCTCAATGTCAGATGAGGGAGTCAGAAACAGAAAAGAGAAAGGCTAGAATGAACTCTCTATCTACAGTGTTTAACTGGAATTAGAAGTATTAGTAGGAAGTCAAGGTTTTGAAGTATACACAGAAAAAATAGAAATGTTAAAGTTTTTTTTTTTTTTTTTTTGTCTCCTAATGTCTGCTGAGAGATCCCAGAAACATTGAAATCCCAATAGTAACGAGCATACCAAGCACTCAGATTTTGGTTTCTAAATATCATTTCCCACTGAAAGGAACCAGGGCTCACTGGAGAAATGGCTAATCTCAGGGTTTAGAAAGCACACAATGAACCTGAAACATCTTGTTGTTCCAGAAAACAAGGAAGTGCTCAAAAAGTGGTGACAATATGCTAAGAGGACCAGAAGCCTCACTGAAGGGGCTGTCACTACACAAATCTGGAACAAACAACATCAGAATAAATACAGACAGTAATAAGTAATTCAGTAAGAATCGATGAATTCATACTCATTTAAAAAGTGAATAAATAGTAAGGGAGAAGGCAAAGTTTTTCCTTTATTAAAGAAGCCAACAATTAAATGTAGAAGAAATGATGGAATTAAAAACATCACATGTCTAATCAAAAGAAGAGCAATAATTGTTTCAGGCAAAAATACAGTGGATGAAAAATTTATGAAAATCAGGATATTTACACAGTCAGAATATATCTCCCCACTAGACATTTAATAATTACAAAGACACAAAAAAAGTAATTTCACAGAAACCTGGAAGATGCCATCTTAACTAATGATCAGTTAACATCATCAATAACAAGATATAAAATTGTCTCCTAATATGACACAAAGAGAGGAACAGAACATTAAAACATTGTAACTTGAATCTCATCAGGAGGAAACACTAGACAAAGCCAAATTAAAGGAAATTCTGCCAAATAAATGGCTTAAACTTAAAAAAAAAAGTCAAAGTTATGGAAGACAAAATCTGAGGATATGTTCCACAGTAAAGACACGACAATTAAATGAAATGGGTTGTGGTGGACTGGATCTTGGACAACAAAAATAACTTGTTTTTCTTTTCCTAAAATGACATTAGTGGAATAACTGGCTAAACTCTAATGTCTTGAGATCAGATAATAGTATTACATGAAAGTTAATTTCCTAACTTTGATAACTGTAATGATAATAAAAGAGAATAGACTTGTTTTTAGGGAATAAAAAATTAAGCATTTAGGACAGACTTTTTCAACTAGCATTCTGTGAAAGAATGAAGTCCTATGGAAAATGATTTGAGTAACTATTTTTTTAATTCTCCCAAAAATGCATTTAGCTAATAGCACTACATGGGAGAGAAGTTAATTCATTAATACCTATGACTTTAGGATTTAATTCTCTTAGGATTTTAGGGCTTAGCATGTCTTAGGACTTTAGGACTTAATTCTCTCATCATTTGAGATGAGGCATTGTCTGTAACTTACTCTCACAAAGGTCAGGAAAAAAATGTACACAAAGGTACATCTATGTACAGAGAAGTAAGTAGACAGACTCATAAAACAAATACAGTAAAATGTTAACATTTAGGGAGTGTGGGTGAAGGGTGTATGAGCATTCTTATATTATTTTACAACTTTTTGTAAATATGAAATTATTTCAAAATTTAAATGTATCTTATCTTGTGTTTTAAAAACATGGGAGCTGAGAGTTGGTATACTATGCTATCTGAAGTTCAATGTTCAAACCCTGGAATCAGATTTTGGTTTGAATTCCCACTATGTTCTCCTGTAGCTATGAGAATTTGGGTAAGTTACTTCCTTCAGCTTTTACTTCCCTTCTGACAAAATAAGGAAGATACTATTACATGTCTTAAGGAGTTGCCAGGAGAACTAGGATACTGTCAATAAAGGACTTGGCTCAGGACCTGGGTGCTCAATTAACAGATGCTCAGTAAATGGCAGGTTCTATTATTTTCTTAATACCATCTTCAGGGTCACAAAAACCCTAACA